ACTACACTGTATATGTTTTCCAGGCCTACATCGGAGCACTTGGTGATCATGCACCTGATAGGCTGAAGTCTGCAGCAAGGTCGATTCTCCAAGAAAGAGCTGTTTCAAGCGGTATTCAGAACTATGAGTCCAAGCCCGATAGGTACCCAATCAGCAATCCAATGACAAAGATTGCTGCTAAACTCCAGGTATGGAGGGTAAAATGTGTAATCTTATGCTATTCCATAGTTGTATTATTTGTGTCTTCGCCTCTTTATATGTGCCTTTATCCTTCCTTAAAATTCTTTCCTGATTGTTTGGTTTGTTTTCACAGGCCGCTGGAGAAGCTCAGTACGTCAATGACATACCGTCCAGTGAGGGGGAGGTGTATGGAGCTTTTGTCCTTAGCACTAAGGTAAATTTCTCATCGATCAACCTGTTTTATATATTGTGTTTTCATCAATTGACTTCTTTTTTCATTTCGTTTAGGGAAACTGCAAAATTGACAAAGTGGATCCATCAGAGGCGCTAGTGAGTATTAAACTTTAGAAAAAAAACTCATTTTTGTTTGATGTCTCGTATGTTTAATTGAACATTCATGGTTGTTAACAGTCTTTTTTTTTGTAGGCAATTCCTGGTGTGATAAGTTACTTTGATGCAAATGACATCCCAAAGGGTGGAATCAATGAACTTAAGTTTTTCAACTTTCCCGGACCTGCTGAGGGCGTGAGTATACTGTAGCATATGTGTTAGTGATAAATCGCTTTTTTTGATATAAGCTCTAATCAGGGTTCGATTTGTCCAGGTGTTCTGTCAAGGTGATGTCTTGTTTGTTGGCCACGTGATTGGTATGGTAGTGGCTGGTAAGGAATAATGTGCAGTTTTACCTTTTTACTTCCTTCGTTTTCCTCTTCTATTCCTCTTTTTCCGCTCCTCCTTTGCCTGTTTCTTTTTCTACTAACAATTGATGGGCCTATTCATTCATTTGCTCGTTGTTATGTTTGTCCACAGATACTCAACGACTTGCAGACGAGGCTGCCAAGTTGGTCAAAATAACATACAAGGATTGCAAGCCTCTGATTTTGACATTTGAGCAGGCTATCGAATCCAAATCATTCTGTCCACCGTTGTCTCCTCCATGGTCTTTAATGATGGCTGACATCAATGTTGGCGATGCTGAAGGTAAAACTATTTTATTCATCTCAATTCTGCTTGGTCTTCTTTTTTTCTCTCTTCATGTTTTCGTTAAGCTACTTGATGAAACAGATTAAATTAAAGCAAATTGAAACTCAATCAATCAAGAATAGTTCTAGTGTTAAAGGCGAATAAAGTAATTCCACAAAATTTCAGGTGCAATGACGTCATCGAGTCACGTGATCACTGGGGAGGTGAAGTGCGGTGCTCAGCATCATTTCCATATGGAAACACAGGTATCCCATCAATATGATGATAATCATATTTCTTGGTTGGAAAATACTATTCACATCTTGAATTGATCTGCTGGGGTGGAGGTGGTGATTGTCGGACTACRTATAAACTGTTGATGTTCAAATGAGATTGTTCAAGCTTTTTTTCCAAGGTGTGTTTGAGTGTACCAAAGGAAGACGGACTTACTCTCTACAGCTCTACTCAAGGAATTACTTTTGTCCAAAAAGGCGTCAGTGATTTTTTAAACGTCAAAGCGACCAGGTATTTAAATATAAAATCTTGTACCCTTCAAAGTACATTCATTTTTTTCCAACGAGGAGTGTTTTACAAACAGGACACACATTCACACATTTTCTTCATTTACATTAGTGTTTATTCTTTATAAATTTAAGTGTCATTTATCTTTGCTATTCTTTATCAGTGTGGATGTGATTGTCCAGAGATGTGGTGGTGGTTTTGGCGGGAAGATTTTACGATCGGTTCAAGTAGCTTGTGCAAGTGCATTGGCCACTAAGGTACTGGACCGGTAAGTCCTGTGATTGATCACCAAGACAATATATATATTTCTCATACTCATTAATTATTCATGAGGTATCCAGCCAATCCCTGATTGTAATTTGTACCACGTGCAGTAGCTGGATACCAGAGGAAGTACTCCTACCTTTTATTCTAGCTTATTTCCAGTTACTTCTACCTTGTTTCCAGCTACTTCTATCTTATTTCCAGTTACTTCTACCTTGTTTCTAGTTACTTCTAGCTTTTTCTAACTACTACTAGCTAATGATAATCAAAGTATTAGAAATAATCAACTTAATATAGAATTAATTTAGTGAAAAAAGGCCTCGGACTGGAACTAATTGCGCGGACTTGAAACCCCGTCCAGTCCTCATTGTCGGACTTTAAACATTACATATACATACACCTAACCAAAAAAATTCTGCAACTTTCAATATATATATATATGTCTATTGTTTCCCTATTGGTTAATCTCTCAAGAACAAAAGACATATATATATATTAAAAGTTGCAG